GCCACTAGCACGGTAAATATACGAGGCCAGTAGCACGGTAAATATACGAGGCCAGTAGCACGGTAAATATACGAGGCAAGTAGCACGGTAAATATAGGAGGCCAGTAGCACGGTAAATAAACGAGGCCAGTAGCACGGTCAATATACGAGGCCAATAGCACGGTAAGTAATTTAATATTCTCATATTAAATTTACGTATTTAATATTTGTATTTAATATTTGTAGTGGCCACCAATACATTCAATGTAACTGTCTTTCTTAACTTCAACGCTAGACTCGTTATTAGACTCGGATTACGTTCTCCTACACTCCACTGGTGAGTTATAACCTACTTGAACTTTTATGTTATTTTTCTTGCATCTTATATTTTGGAATAAGTCATTCTAAGTGGATTACGAAGTTTTAGCCTTCTCATCTGTTACTCATTTACCGGGTCCGTTTTTGCAGGTCGGAACTATATTGGGCTAAAACTTTCCTCCCGCAAGCTCTATTCATATAAGTGGCACCAATACTCCCGCCATTATTCACTCGTCCTCGTATTGTATTTTTGATTCCTTAACTATCAAGATTCGTCATTATTCCTGTTTGATTATTCCGTTAATTTATTTGCAAATGAATTCTATAGTACGAATTCTTGAATTTCTTTCTGCAGGACACCAAATTCCTACGCACCGGAACCCTTAACAACAAGATAACTCTAGTATCATGTTTTTTATGCTAGGTCTTATCTATGTTACCACGTTTTTCTTCTCTTCGTTTCGTGTCAAACCTTAATTTAGAGCACTTCTGAAGATCCTGTAAACTTGAAATTTGGCTTGAATGCTTATGCTGCCTAACAATTCAAGATTTGATCATCAGAAGTAATAAGTTTAAATTTTTTTTATTTTTCTTTAATTAAAAAAACCCTAAAAATTCACGGTTGGGAATCGAATTTTTTGTCGGACATCCAGAGTTGCCAACCCTGGAAAAGGATTTGAATTGCTAAAATTTCTAAACTAAACAGTAGAAAATAAACAAATATAAAAAAAAACATTTTTAAAAACCACGTTTTCTTAACAGACAAGAAAGAAAAACATTAACTCTTACATAACATTACATGACATTCTACATAACTTTAATGTTATGTAAGAGTTAATGTTTTTCTTTTTTGTCCGTTAAGAAAACGTGGTTTTTAAAAGTTTTTTATTTGTTTTATTTCATTGTTTTTAGTTTTGTAACCACCAGAAAAACGTGGTTTATAAATAAGGTTTTATACTTATTTATTTTATATTCTCGGACAGCTATCATATCAATAGTTTTCTCGAAAATATTGACATTTTTGAGTCCACGTACGAACCAATGCACATGTTGCGTTCACAACACTCGCCTAGAATAGCTGTTGCCATGAGAATATACCTGACCTTGTCGTGTAATCAGTGAATCTGTGAGAAACACCAACCTGCTGTGCACGCTGTAAATAAGGTAACTTATTAGACCAACGCACTGCATACTTGGTGGTATTTCTACTGAACATACTTTTCCTTCAAGAGGCTTGATAAACTTGTTGACTTTCGTTTGTATTTAAATTTATAAAAGTTTTGATTTAGAGTTGTACTCCCCTAGGGCCACCCTGATGTTTCCGTCGACGATCATCTGCTTGCTGCCGCTCATCATCGGTGAGTGTCTTCTGCATAGGAATTCGAATAACCATTAGGTGAAGAACTGACAGCTTTTGCTGAGTAGTTCTAGCTTTTGTTAGTGCCTGCTTATTATTATTAAGAGTGTAGTCAATTGGCAGCGAAATGATTTGTCGAACCGTGACATTAATAAAAGCAGTAAAAATCCTTCAACAATTCTGGTTGATTTAACAAAATTTTTCACAATGTTTTATTTTTTTTTCAAATTAGTAAAGGGTCATTCAATGTCAGGTGCACCAATTTTGATTGAAAATCTGTCACACCTGACCATCAGCAAATTTGATGAAAGTTTACACATTAGTTGGATCCTGTTTCAAACCAACTCTGAAAAAACTTCAGCTCCATATATGTAAAACTTGATATGATCGCGCGGAGCCAAATCTCCAACTTCAGGTCACTGCTGTGGCATGTCTGTGCTGGCCTCGAGTGAGGTGGCCGCAGGACTTGAAGAGGTGCTTCTAAAAAAATTTGCTCAGTAGTTTATTGTTGATATTTTTGGGCAGAGGAAGGTCAAACTTGCCCGAAAATCAAAAGTACAGAAAAAAATCAGAAGTTCAGTGCCATGTAAATCACAAGAAAATGTATAAATCTCCAAGATACATGTAAATGATACATGTACAGTCTATTGCCAACATTCGTAACATTGTATACACAAAAAATTATTGATGCAATGTATACAATGTATACATTGTAAATGAAAAAAAGATCAAATTCAATTTGATTTTTCAGTAATAAACTAAAATTTCTAATAGAAGCCTCGGAGCAATTTTTTGACAATGGTTAAATACAAACTTAGTAAGTTTTACTAAACTAATTTGGTTGAAACATTTTAGTGAAAACATAAAATTTTATACTATAGCATATATGTCAGTCATAGCCATGGTGTTCCTCTTGCTATGGAAGAAAACTTAGTTTAAAAATGCTGCATTTGCCTCATTATTGCATCACATTTGAATAACGGGAAAGTATTTGAATTAGATTCTACATTGCAAAAGGCAGTAGAATACTATGTTTAGATATCCATGCATGTGACAGCTCAGTGGCGAAACGTACATCAATTTGCTGCTTTCTAGCTTGTTCTTTATCTACTTTTTCAATTTTGGCAGGGCATACTTTTTTGAGGAGGCTTCCTCTATTTTTTGAAAGTCAACTCATTTGTTTTCCTACCTCGTTATTTGTTGTAAATTTACAAGTTTATTAATGCTTATTCTCATTTATAATAATACGGGGTCGAGTCGTTTATTTCATCCAGTTGCATAAACACGTGTCAAAAGTGAAACGCTGACACAGGCAGCAACATAGTCTACAGGAATGAATGGGAATGAATTTTAATCCAGTTATTATCATAACTAAAATTAATTATTAATATTATTATTTATTGTTACCCGTAACTAGAATTAGCGTATGTTATAGTATAGAATTTTATAGAACAGAATGCCGCTTCAATAAAATTGGTACCGGTATACTGTAACTATTCATAAATTGTCGGAAAATTGCTCTGAGGCTTCTATTAGCATATTTAGATGAAATTCACTGGAAAAACAAAGTGAATTATTAGTCAATATTTTATGTATACAATGTTACGCGTGTTGGCAATAGACTGTACATGTAACTTGGAGATTTTATTTTTCAATGATATACAGGGCACTGAACTTGTGAATTGTTTCTGGTCTTTTGATTTCCGAGCAAGCTTGACCTTATTACACACGAAAAATATTAGCAATAAACTACTGAAACAATTTTTTATAAGCACCCTCTTGAGCTTTACAGGCACCTTAATTTCCAAATCAGTGGCTAGCACAGCAGTGACCTGAACTTGGAGATTTTCCGCCGCGCGATCGGGGACATTTCACCACCCCTCCTTTGAGGGCCCATAATTTCAAAAGCTTTTTTATGAAAATAGTCAGGTGAGTACTCTTTGTTCTCTTGTCATGGACCCTAAAGAATTCATTGGTTGTCATTTTCTCTTGTTGTTAAAGTTTTCGTGTAATTTACGCACCTAGGCATGACAAACTGATTGTATCATCAAATTCGAATTCTCATTTGGCAGGCGCTGTCGCAGCCGACTGTCCTGAAGGCTATGAGGTCGTCGGGTCCGAGTGCATCCACCGTTACACGGGCGGATATCTGACGTACGACGAAGCGGCCACTTACTGCACCCAGCATTCCGGCAGGCTGCCTGTGCTTAAAGACTGCGCTTCCTTCATTGATGTCACTTCCTATGTCAACGATGGATGTAAGGTTCTGCTTTCAAAATGTTTGTCATCTTAGAAACATTGTAAATCGACCATCATAAGTTAGATGTCAACTTTAGCAAAAAAGTCTCTTCCTATGCATCAACTTGATGTTTAGTGGGACCGGAATTTCAGCGAACTCAATTCATCTGTAATAGGACTTCTGATTGATTTTTTTGCACTATCATTATGACTATATTATCACTAGACAAACACTGTGCATGCCTCTGCGCTGATTTCTTAAAACTTGGTGAGTCGGAATGCCTTGTTAGCCGCGGGCGTAAGAATTTGATTCTACACTAATGTTGATTTGATTCTACACTAATAATGCAGTACCAATTCGCTCACAATTGGCCCTGTGTACAACACACAGCTTCTGTGTAACAGCTGAAAATGTTAGGTGTCAGTCAGTCGGTCACCACTCGGCTTGGGGGTGACCGAGCAGCTGCTACCCAAACAAAATTCAGAGCCGTGTCAGCTTCTGATTCGAGGAATCAGAAGCTGAGGCGGATCTAAATTTTAACTGGGTAGGGGTGCAACAGCTGCGCAACTCAAGGAGGTGCCCAGGTAGTTAAGAATCGGCGACAGGCCAACAGGATCTTATCTACGCTGAAAGCTTTACATTAATTAATATTACATTTGCACTCCATCAGACTCAACTGATTACAACAACGGCTACTGGTTAGGCGCGACCAATGGAACGCTAACCAATGTTTGGCAGTGGAGTGACGGAGCGGCCGTGCAAATGGGCGCTCCGTACTGGGCCAATGTGAGTATATCCATGTTTTTTCTGTACATGACACAACATATTTGCTGAAAGAAGGCTTATTTATTATGAAATTTTAAATGGATGAAGCTCAAATAAGTCACGACTAGATGCAATAGGATTTGACTATAGATGCAATAGGATTGAACAATAAGATTTAGTAGACAAATCGTTATTCTCACTCTTATGTATGTTATCTTATGTTTGTGTTTGATTCGACCTACCCAAAAAGAAATTATTGTGGAGCATCGATGATTATAGGTGGCTATAGGTGGAAGTTATAGGGCGAGAGCACAGTTGGCGAATCATTAAGCCATCAACGACCACCTCTCGAATTAGGTCGATACAAATTTTCCGTTAGTTTTAAATCCAATTCCTGTGCATTCTCACATTGATCGGCAATCCTTCCAAATACGATCAAACATTTTGAGGATTACGTATACACATCAAGCATGGCGGTACAAGCAACAATGTCGGAAATGTAGCAGGAACAAATAATCACATTGCCATGTACAAAACTCGTGAGAAATCGACTTGAAGAAAAGTCCCTGCCTGCTCGGATCGATCTCAAGTCTCCCGCACGCAAGACCAAGCCTCTACCGCTGAGACATCGGAGATTCGGAGAGGACTTACCAAACGAGTCATTTTGAGAGATTTTACTGAAGTATTGCAGTTTTTAATTTCGACAATTATTATTAATAAACGCCACTACTAAACTGATTAGATGGTTCCATTAACCACTGTTTACTCCAACACGTTATTATATTCCAGAAAATGGCAGCTTGCAGCAATTCCGTTTATTATCTTTTGAAGTTTATTTATTTCGAAATTTTATCATTTTTTCAAAAGGGAAGTTTAGAAAGATTTTCGACGGGAATATTTTTGTGGAAAATAAGGAATGTTTAGAGGATGGAATGGACATCATTCGATTTTGAAATGTCAGGGGTGAAATTCTTTCATCAATCCGCACTGATGTTTTTTCTCTACTCTAATATATGGATAATCTGTCACGTAGGAATGATGCTGAGACCACATTATTATATATTAAGTTTAAATCAGAATAATTATGTGACGAGATAAGCAAATTTCTGTCAAGTACATAAATTATCACATCAATGTCAGTCCATAGAGAACTAATTTGTATCTTTCAGCGTAAAGAGGATATTTTTATCCGAAAATAACAGAGTTTTTGACTAGCAATCTAACCGGAACACATTTTACAAGCAAGGCGTAGCAAGGATCGTTTTGCCACCTATAATGTAACATGCCTACCTATAACAATAGGTGCGTCACCATTGATTATTATTTGGGTAGTAGAGAATCTTTATTGAGTGATGACATTCAGTAGTTAGCGCTAGAAATATTACAGCTGCACCAACTTATTGCATTGAGTGCTTCATGTTATTAAAATTGATCAAAAAAACTTTTAGCAGCTCCCTCTAAATAGATATGTTCCTCAGGATCCTGGAGATGATTTGACAACGGAACCTGACGGTGGAACGAGTCAGAACTGTGCTTATATAAGGGGTGACGGGGGCTGGTTATTCCGAAATGACGGTTGTGTATACAGTAAATATCCACTGTGCTCAAGACCATCAGTAGATGGTGAGTTACTGTTCTGTTTTGAAGCCTTGGAAGGTAACCAGAACAGAAAAGTGGAGAGAGTAAACTCGTTGTGGAGGAATTCGTTCTAAGACTTTATTATTTTATGCATTCAACTGCCAAATTAATCCCCTGGAAACAATTTTACGAGCAAAGTGCAGAATTACGTTCGAAATTGTTATGAGTTTGTACGTAACTTTGACTTGCCTGTTTAATTTTCAGGAGTTAGCTTAAGTTGATATCTTAGAAAAATTTACTTTAAAAGCGAAAAAATTCAATAGATGCTTCAAGATTATCAAAAAGAAGAAGGAAAAGTTACCATAATGAGGGAGAGCGACAAACTTACCTCTATCCAGCCCAATAGAAAATATTAGGTGAGGGGCATCATGCAATATGCATTATGCAATCTTTGTGCAGTCTACGTGTTTACTTCTGAATTTTAATCGTTTTATCTTGCTTGTTTTCATTCTGATGTTATTGCGACATGGCACATATTGAACTTGACTGTTTCATTAATAAATATTTACTGACATCCGGCACAGCTTGTACCTGAGGGTTCCATGAACATTGCTTGTTTTACATAAAACGCTTACGTTCAAAGTTGCATGGCAATATCTATAGTTCCGGTACTAGCGTAAAGTTTGAAATGGTGAATATTCCAGTTAAACAGGATTTAGGGTCTTGAAATAAACTTGATAGAGTCAGTTTAAACGCACGAATGGCAGGACCCTAAGGAAAGCATAGCTAATCTTTCATGCAATGACTTCCTGAGCTGATATCCAGCTTCTAGGAATGAATAATCTAATATCTTTCATTCATTCCACATTTACATCATGGATATGTATTCTACTGCAGGTCTCTGCCAGAATCCTTTTGTTTTGGTTGGCACTCAGTGTGTTCACTTAATTACGACCAACTACACCTGGCACGACGCTCGTAACCAGTGTGGACTGGTCGGTGGGGGCCTGATTGTTGTAGACGACTGCGATCAGTACCACAAGGTTGCCCTCTACCTCGCTGAACAAGGTAACCGTTTGAAAAGTTCTATATAATCTTTCAAAATAAACACCTCCAATCAAACCATTATGAATATGTACGGTTAAATTTAATTAAGATAACTAAGACCAGAGCTGGTAAGTTGAGGTTTCATACGCAAGTGATGTAAACCTGCATACCTTAGGTTAGAATGGAGTCAATTCATACCATGATTAATTTCACAAGTAATAATGTCACTAGATTGCTTGAATCGCAGATTAACTATAAATGTAAAAGCGAAGAAAACTTTACAAAAATTAAGCATATCTATATTGAAAACGTTTCGGAGACCAGCTCCATCATCAGTTCGATAAATCCAGAACACAAATACAGTCAGAAAATGAATAAAGTTTCGAGTCCGACACTGACTTTAAGGTTTTAGCTCATAGTTCTGGTGCTTCCGATCTGCGTATTTTGGAATCATTGTATATTTTTAAAGAGAAGTCTAGTTTAAAGTGCAGCTTATAGTTCTTATCCATTAGAAATTGTGAATAGATAGGTATTTACTTTATCATTCTGCCCTTTGCCTTTAAATTTAGGTTTCTAACTTCTGTGTTTTTTTTTTACTTCAAACTTTATCAATGTTCTGACTGTATTTGTGTTCTAGATTTATCGAACTGACGATGGAGCTGGTCTCCGAAACGTTTTCAATATAGATAAGCTAAATTTTGTGGAGTTTTCTTCGCTTTTAAATTTCTATGATTAATTTCTATTTATACCCACCAGCCTAACGCCTTTAGTGAGTGGTTTACTCTGCAGAACTTCCCTTTCACATTTTAGTTACATTTATATCGTTAGTGTCAGGGAAACAGCAGCGTTTTATACAGTATAATATTTCAAAACTTAATTCCTTAATCCCTACATTTTTTGTTTCTTTTCTGAATAAGACTACCCATACTTTTGGTAGGGTGTATTTGGATAAATGAGTGAGACGTTATCCAAATAGCAATGCACTTGTTGTTGTGATCATTATCCGAAATTTCTTGCAATAAGGGCAAATAAATGCATTATTCCCATTCAAAATTAGAAGAATTTTTTAGAAGGTTACAAAGAATTTAGAAAATTTCGTGAGTTGGAGTTGCGACTGTCATAAAAAGACATAAATTTGTTTACAGAGAACTAGAAAAAATGGTTCTTGCCAACCACAATATAATTTTAAATCAAAAAGGCATTAAGATATTGTTCAAGTAAATAATCATAAAACTCTTAGATGTGAATATCAACATTTGCTTGTAAATTATAGCGCATAAGGCAATTGACATTTTTATCCCGAAAGCACCATTTAGCACGATCACATATCATATGTCGGATTATTGACAAAATTCTATCACAATTCGCCGTACGTGTTGCTACTTGCTAGTAAATCAATAGTTTCCTATTGCTGAAGCAGAAACTCTAAACTTGTGCGGAACTTCACTTACGACATCTCCGAGCAGGCCTACAGTTACGTTACGTAGCTTCCCGCGCAAATGTTTTGATAATACCACCGCTAGAGTTACGTCATCAAGTCAGCACTTACGCCACTCGTGAGTCGATTTTGCGTACTTACGAAGTTTTGATAATACGGCCTCTGGGCAATAAATTCGCCTCTCAGCTGCAAATGCAAATGAAATAAGTCATAATGATTCATATGCAGATGAAATATACGAACCATGTATACGCATATATGATGCAAATGAAATAAGTTCATCTTGCGTTCGAGAATTAACTGCATAGATAATTTCCTGTTCATTTCGCGAATTTCTTTAGCCTGTTCAAGCGGCTACAAACCAAACATATTTCATAAAATACAGTTTGTTTCCTGGAAAATCTCTTCGGCTCTTAGTTGACATATTAAAAGCGAGTTATGCACTGCATGATTTCATTTGCTCAACTCACTAATTTTTGACTGAGACACTTATATTTTTATACACGTATAAACTTAATATCAAAAGTTACTTTCCTCGACTGAGATATCCGAAATCAATTGCCTGTAGAAGCATGCTTTTTACTGTGAATCGTGCCTCCAGTCAGATAAATTCTCAAAAATATATCAGTGAGGTAAATTGAAATAAATGCGCTTTATTTAAAATTAATAAGTATATATATAACGACTTAATCGCAATCTCATGACAGAACCATATTTTGAAATAATTCAGTTAGAAATGTATTTAAAAATTTGGTATATATAAAAAATGAAAACATGGGATGGAAGAAAGTCATTTTGGTAATACGAAACTTTGAAGAATCCAGGATCATGAAATATTTCTGTAAATACTGTAATTTAAACAATATAATTGCATTTCTGATGTAAATGATGTATCAATCAACACCCTGGATGATTGTTGCAACAACCATCCAGGTTGACTGTTACATTGATGTAACAAAAACAATAGATGTTTGCTTCATTTTTGCACAGACTGTATTTGGGTATCTAGAACCCGACAATCCTGGCAAGCAGAACTGCCTGGAGTTGAATTGCGCGGGGATGTACCGCTTCAGCAGCGCGTGGTGCAGTCATGTGCGCCGGGTGATCTGTGAGTCAGACCCCATCTAGAGGAGTGCTGTTCATGCCCCATCTGGAGGAGTGCTGTTCATGCCCCATCTAGAGGAGTGCTGTTCATGCCCCATCTGGAGGAGTGCTGTTCATGCCACATCTAGAGGAGTGCTGTTCATGCCCCATCTAGAGGAGTGCTGTTCATGCCCCATCTGGAGGAGTGCTGTTCATGCCCCATCTAGAGGAGTGCTGTTCATGCCTCATCTGGAGGAGTGCTGTTCATGCCCCATCTAGAGGAGTGCTGTTCATGCCCCATCTAGAGGAGTGCTGTTCATGCCTCATCTAGAGGAGTGCAGCGTTTGCCCCATCTTGAGGAGTGTGTTTTATGTTCTATCTAGAACATTCTTTTAAATGTTCAATCTAGATGGTAATAAATTCTGTAATTTCCAGGCCAGTGTTTTTATTGTCCTATCTAGGAGAGTATCATCAATGGCCCATCTGCAGGGTGTTTATATTATATCATTTCCCATCATGGGATGGGAGGGCTAGGGATGGATAATCTTCGAGATATGTGAATCATTTTCCTAATTCGCAAATATAACTAATTATTATTGATGCGGATATTTCAAACCCACTTTCAAGATAGAATCAATGATTATGTCATGTTATGGTATGCGAAGGAAATTTTTTCACGAAATTCTTGCATAAAGATTAGAAAAAATAACATCAGGTCCTTCAGCCATGATCCGTTACAATAAACCTACGGCCAGACTGACCGTGAGACATCTATATCAGCGAGACACGACGGTTATGAAGAACAGCGACCGCGGTGACGCGCGGCTACAGCTGCGGTTCGGCCACTGGGAATACGGCTGCAAACGTGCGCGTGAGGTACGGTCGTTTTGGGAGTAGTACCATTCTACGGGAGCGTTCTACGGCTCAACGTTTTCTGGTAAAAGTAGAAGATTTTAGTGGTGTTAACTGATAGATTTTCAATTTTGATTGGGTTCGGACTTTCTTTTTCATGTACTAGAGATTTTTGTCAACGTAGGATGTGAACTTGAATTTCCCAATTTAATATGAAATGTACCTGTGTTTCATTGCATCCCTCTCTTTGTACGATTATTGCCGTAAACCTATTTCATAAGAGAATTGACACTACGGAAACCAACCTGACAGAATTAAAGTAATTGACGATGGAGCGATAAAACCCATAATGTACGGTCAACATCGATAAAGTAAATTTCCATAAACGTTAAAGTAACCTCATTCCATTTTTCTTTTCAAATTTAGAGAATGACATGAGCCTTTGTCCGATTTGGCTCTACTTGAAGGAAGTATTTCGGCATTTAAAAGCTAAGAAAATTACACCATAACTCACCACATCTTCAAATAAAATGTTTGGAGTCTAGCTCTTCGAAATTTATATCTTTAAAAAAAATGTTTGTAGTCCAGCTCCATCGTCAATTAGAAATTTCTAGAATAAATATACTATCAGTTGTTTGTACAATTGAAAAAAGCTAAATTTTAAATTTACGGATAAAAGGCAAAGAAAACCACCTGACAAACCTGGCGCCATACTTTCAAAAAAGTTAAGAGATCGTAAGTTCATCAGCCAATTATTGACGGCCTTTCAAGCAAAATCCACCAATCATGGACAAGAAAATAGAGCGAAAGTACTTACGTTCACTTAGCGAGTTTCGAAAGTATGGCCCCTGTTCATTATAAAGTTCAAGTGGACGAAAGCTCAAACTAGACCTCTTTTTGATAATATACAAGGATTCTAAAAACGTATTCGGAAGCATCAGAGGTGGTAACTAAAATCTTTGTCACTATAGAATATTGGCACGTCACGCACGAGGATGTGCGTGACTGCCGCGTGAGTGCGCACTGCGCACAGCTGAATGAGGGGGCGCGCTGTTAAATGGCCAGTTCTTCAACTATTCCCTTTATGCTCCGCTTTCCTGGAATGAAGATTGCGTGCCACCTACACGTTAAGACAAATGCAAGAATATTTACTGTCCAATAAAGAATTTGGATGATTATTTGTTCAAAATGGTACATTCGTGTCGTATTTACTTCAGATAAGATTAATGAGTTCTAAACCCTTACTAAATAATTTTTGTTTCACTGGTGCGGACTTGCATACAATCTAGTAATGTTTTGTAATTTGACTGTATTACAAGACTGATGTTTGAATCGTGAATGATAACTAATCAGAAGCTTAGCAGCGCGGGTCCTGTTGTTTGGCTCTAAACAGTGTTGAGAGAGCGCTCGAGTTTGTCAGAATTTGCAAGTTTCATCGTCAAATAAAAATTTCAAATTCATTTAACAATAAATTAATTGTGGAAAAATTAATAAATCGGATTTTAAACTGTGTAGCTCAGACATTTAATACTCGTGCAACCTTAGTCTTGTTAACTTAACTGTAAACTCCTATGAAATATATTACGTGTTTTCATAGTTTGCATTGTGCTTGAAGAACATGAAGCGGTTGACGGATGCTGTTTATTTCTGGTAATATCAACTCTGTGTTTGCAAAGCAGCTGGCACTCTGCATGTCATTGAGAAATTTACTGGAAATTTCGATTGCGGATGCGACATCCACCGTGGCGGTGTCCCGCATGGATGCCGCCTCGGTAACTGATGAAACTGAAGGTTTTATTGCTTCCGAATAAGCCTCAGAATTAGAACTTAATTTTTCAATCAGCTGCACACACGACAATTTGTCTTCCGAAACGAGAGAGAATTTTCGGCTGTAATATGCATCAACTAAACTAACTAAATCGGCATGGAGGATAAGCAAAATATTTCGGGTGAAAATCAATTGTGATACAAGATTTCGCATGTTTTTGTGTTTTTGCTGATAGTTATTTTTTTACATTGAATTTATTTCTAATTATTTTAGCGAAATTGATAAACTCTGCCTGTCGCCTATAACTCTTACCATGCTTCAGTCTTTTTGGCTTAATGTATGCGCGGTGTGTCCTGTAAGATGCTGATGCTAAGTTCTCTTACGATATCTTGAATACCATGGCGAGACAGCCGCGTGAGTGCGCACCGCGCACAGCTGAATGAGGAGAACGCGCTGTTAAATGCCAGTTCTACAACTACTCCCTTTATGCTCCGCTTTCTTGGAATAAATATTGCGTGCTACCTACACGTTAAAACTTGAATAACTTGAATACCATGACACAATACTCGCGATATAAATAGGATATAGGTACTATTTTCGATTGTTAAATTACCGACAGAAAAGTTGAAGCTTCATGTGACTGTGAGCAAAGATGCTTTGATCATGTCATTGGATGAACCTGATTTGCACTTGAAATTTCCCACTTTGAAATTTAATTAATTTTTTGTCATTCCATTAATTAATTCGATTAGATGATTAATTTTTATATAGGGAACTTATGGTGTTGAGAGCCATTACATATTTTGACGCTCGTCTACTCCGTTTCTCTTGTGCTCATGTTAACTTAACCTATTTAATTAGATTTGTATTAATTGACATTCATATTGATAGTCGATCTCATTTATCATTCATGAATATAAATGTTTAAAAGGAGTCAATTATTTAAACCTTGCATGACCTTCGCAATGATTAATATGTGTTCCGCCATCTGACACATTTCTGTATGATTAGAGAACAGACTATGAACTTGGGAAGCATGAGAAGTAGATTAAATAGTCTTTTATTTTCCCTCCACGAGTGTCAGGGAGAGACTCCGGTGACGTATATTGATTTTAGGAAACGGGAATGACATTAAATCACATACTTTTGCGAATTTCGATAATATCTTACTTTATAAATACTTATATCATTAATCTGCTTAAATCGCAAGTCCACCAAGAATTTAAAATCAAAGAAAATGCCAAGTGAAATCACCATAAATTAAATAAAAATGTTTCGGATCAGGTCAAAATTTTTTCTATAGAATACAAGTACAATAATCAGTGATAGACTGCATATAAACTTAGGAGATTAAACCAAAGTATCGAGAAAATGACAACGCAGCAAAAAAACTATTGATGTACAATTGCCAGAGGATAGGAACTGCGCGTATTATTAAGAAAAGGTTTCCGTCTAAATATCTGCAACTATTTCAAAAACGGTTTATCTCGGTGCGTGTTCTGGGTTAACCCTCTACCGCCGTATGTCACTCTCCGGGAATATAACTTTCAACTTAAATTATACGTAAACTATTAAGTGTAGCAACCTGAGGACGTTTGTACGCAACAGAGAACATTTTAAAGTTGTACGTGGCGGCAACCATCAGTGCAAGTCATTTTGCGCCCACTAGAACGTATCCTTTTTGGGAAGTAGTAGACCGTACTGACGTGACGGTCACCACTGTAGAACCACCTTTGGCTCCAATTTTAGGGTCCTTATATAGCAGGAAGTCGCGCACACATAAGCCTACCACGGGACGCCGCGACAATTTCGAGCTCTACAAAGGTCAGCACTTATGATACCATCGGCCATTCCAAACTATAGACAAACCCTCGGTCTCATGGTCTCGAGAACAATAGCCTCTTATACAAGCTTTACACAATTTCAACTCAAATTCCTATAGCCTTGAAATAATTTTCATAAATCGTATTAAATATTTATATTACTTCGTATTAAATTAATTAGTTTCAATTAATTAGGCACTCTGCGATGTAACGCGTCGGTTGAGTTCTCCGACCTTACGGTCGACGCCGTAGCTTATACCTCTGTATCGCAATGTATAACCGCCCCGCATATCAAGATATGTTATCAGACAGATGTGTCTTACTTACCCTCCACGACCTTGGTCTCGTAACCCGATCCTCAGGTAGAGCTTAATCGATGAGCACGGACATATGACAACTGGGATCATTATAGGTACGTATCTCGTGTCAGGCACGAAACATTATCATGTAAGAAAATATCTTCTGGAATTCCTTCACATACTACAGTTTGGAAATCACTATTTAAAAAACTTTTATATAGGCTAACAAACAATCGTGATTATCAACAGTTTTCCGGAATAATGTAAATACAAGCAAAGACTTCACAGCAACGAAGAACCGTAGATACAGTACGGGTGGCTCATCGGTATAAGGAAAGTATATCTTTTTGAATATGTATTTCTCTAATAAACTTTAGTATTTCTTCAGGAAACTGAAAAATTATCTTCCGCATTATCATGATAAGAAAATTTTATTCATGGTCCATTGTCGTCATCAGTAAGTATAAAAAATTGTTTGAGAAGCTTACGCGCGTCGCAGCGCACGGACATGAGGCTCGGACTCTGGATCGTTTAGACCCGCGTTCGAGGCTTAATTGAAGAGCGGTGCTTCGTTGTTCCATCGGACCGCAGATGAGGTGAGTGAATTGAAATCTCTCAACAAGTGCCCACTGTTTTCCAATATAAATTGTACTGCTATACTGGGTTTGTACGCAACTGAATGTTCGTTCGTATGTACTTTGCGGCTATAAATGCTTATCAATCGTAGGACGTAGGGTAGGTAGGTTACATAGGGTGGGAAACCGTTATCGAATTCACAAACATAAAGTTAATAGCATCGTCGTTTAATTTTTCGTCAATTTTTCAATGCTTTGTAAATATCGATGCGGCAGCGTTCATCATAGCAGAGATTATCCAACACTGTTATTATTCGCTTTACAAGTGGTTGATTGTCGATAACTTCTTGCACTATTTCTTCTGTAGTGACGGAAAAAGGTTTTACCTTCGAGCATTATTACCCGCAATTCAGAGTTATATAAGTATGCTTTTTGTATTCATTGTGTTGCAGAAGCAGGTATAGAAAGCAAATCAACTACAAATTCAATTGCATCTCCCTTCCTCTCATTTCGGAGGTAGGGAGAGGGGGCGATTTTTTATCACATTGTCAGACTCGGCCAGAACCGCCCCGGATACGGGAATGACCCTAATACGTACCGATCAGGATCTCGTAGTTGTCTGACTTGGGATTGGAATGTAGTCCAAAAAGCGGACACAGAGAAGCTGATTTACGTGCTCCCCGAGTCCTTGGCATTCCCTATTTCAGAGTCGCCACTGAGTCTGAATTTTTTTGTGGAAGAAATACGAGAGAAGTTCCATAATTGTGTCAGGTTGTCTATCGTCACCTCTCATACTTGCGTTAGCGGTTACCGCGTCATCTTCTGTGCCATCATTCTTGTACGACTATATAAGCTCCTCAAGCAGACCATCAGTCAGTCATAGGCAGGCATAGCCATCAGCCAGTCATCTAAATCTTAGACGCGTCTACTACTTCTACCTATATAGACTCCGTCATTCTCGTAATGTCGTTTACGCCAGCCTCAACTACCTTGTATAATATACCATCCAACCTGATCCTGCACTCCTATCTAGTGTTTAATAATTAAGACTTTAAAGTACACTAATTCTCATCATTTCCTACCTGTCTTATAAATTATTCGGACAACTAAGACGAACTCAGTAAAACTCTCAGGTATTAACACGTTGACTACGATTGCTTCATTTTTTCCGGACAAATTCCGTGTTTGGCCTACCGGGCAATTGACTTCCAAAAGAGGCTGGTAAATAGAAGCAAAACACCCTACGTGGCCGACTTGCTCCTGATTCACCCCTAAGCCGAGTATAGTTCCTCTAAAACGACCTTAATCGGCACGAAAATTTTGACAGGGTATACTTGGTCATTAATTACCGTGCTACTGGCCTCGTATACTTACCGTGCTCCTAGTCTCGTATATTTACCGTGCTACTTGCCTCGTATATATGCTGTGCTACTGGCCTCGTATATTTACCGTGCTTCTGACTTGCCTCGTATATATGCTGTGCTACTGGCCTCGTATATTTACCGTGCTTCTGGTCTAGTATATTTACCGTGCTACTGGTCTCGTATCAAAACGCTAAAGAGTAGCAGGCTAGGCTGGTTTTGAGGAAATTTTATGATAAAAAAATACAATTTTGGGGATTAGAGAGCAAAATTTTGGATTTGAATGAAAATTTCGGATTAGAAGGTAAAATTTTGGATTATAAGTAATAATTTCGGATTAGAAAGGGAAAATTCGGGTTTGAGTAAAAAAATTTGGTATTAGAGAGCAAAGTTTTGGATTAGAGGTAAAATTTTGGATTAGATATAATATTTTGATGTAGAGGGTGAAACTGGACTAGTGTACATGTTTGTTGGTACCCGCACAGTTACATCATTAAAACACGTTAATACATAGTACATCACATTACACATTCAGCACATTAATAATTATAATTAAAAGCAATACTTTTATTATCATTGCAATTACTACTAGCAAATATTAGGAGTTAATATTGAAGAATGCCCTAAGATTATAATTTTTAGTTAGTTCCAAGTCTGAATTATAACCTGCAATGTTAGCTCGACGTTGCCGTGAGGGTTGCGGGTGGTTAGTTTCAGGTTATATCTTTAGGTTAAGAGGGTTAAACTGGCCGGGCTATAAAATTGGAACAGGACTTTCAGGACACCCAATTAATTCCATACAGGACTTTCAGAAGACCAAAATCCCTACAGGACTTACATGACATCAAATTCTTCTAGGACTTTCAGGACACCAAATTCCTACATGATTTAATAACTGTTTATATTTTAACTGTTTAGCATATTTTCTCATTTATGGAAAAATAGCCCCATTGTGCTCGTCATGTCCACCCGTTCGTCCGTGACTTCACGGACGGACGGACGGACGTGAGAAAATGCGCTCTCTGTCACTCACTGCAGTGAGTATTGATCTAATTTTTTGCACCTGCGTGGGTCATCTAGACACACAAAATATAAGATAGAGTGACAGGTAAAATTTTGGCCTCACAGAATGGAGTAACAGTGTTGCCCGATGCTCGCACCGTGTATGAGAAAATCTGTCATTATTTGGACAGTATGACCTATTGATATTTTACTGAATTTACGCAACCTTAAATGAAATAAATTTTTGTTGAAGTTGGGATCTAATAAATTATTTGATGATGAAGTTATCTTCTTGAAATCCTCAATAGGCATGTGATGATCTTCAGCGATGTTTTCCAACTACTGATGATTATATAATGACATTTTTATCTACGGGATTCATATTGGCGTTGCCAGAAGGGGTGGACTCCAAAGCCACGTCGTAAGCCACAGCTGACATGTGTTGACTTTTTGGCGAACGAAACGGACTCGAGCGCGACATGACCACTTCTCTTATCCACTTCTCTCTTCATCCAGGTGAATAAGCACGTGTCAAAAGTGAAAAGCTGCCACAGGCAGCAACATAGTCTACGGGAATGAAGAAGAATGAATTTTAAAACAATTATTACCCATAGCTAGAATTACTTATTATTATTATTTATTACTACACATAACTAGAATTAGCGTATGCTATAATACAGAATTTTCTCTTTGTGATAAATGCTGTGTCAACAAAATTTGTATACTGCAACTATTCAAACATTATCGAAAAATGGCGCTGAGGCTTTTATTAGCAATGAGGATGAAATTCACTGGAAAACCGAAGTGAATTATTAGTCAATATTTTATGCATACAATGTAACGTATGTTGGCAATAGACTGTACAGGTATCATGGAGATTTATACATTCTCCAATGATATACATGGCTCTGAACTTATGAATTTTTTCTGCTCTTTTGATTTCCGAGCAAGCTTGCATGACCTTATTATACACGAAAAATATTAACAATAAACTATTTAAACAATTTTTTTAAAAGCATCTACTTCAGCTCTACAGACGCCTTAACTTCCAAATTAGTGGCTAGCACAGCAGGGACTTGAAGTTGGAGATTTTGAACCGCGCGATCGGGGACATTTTCACCACCCTTTCTTTGGGGGCCCATAATTTCAAAAGTTTTCGTATTTTCATCTGAAATTTGGGCCTATTTTTGTTGAAATATGAACTCAAATATGTGTGATCCTTCATCAAAATGGTCAGGTGGGTACTCTTTGTTCACGTGACATGGAAAGACCCTAAAGCCTTCTTTGGTTGTCCTTTGTTCATACTGTTGAATTTTTCGTATAATTTAAGCATGACAAATTGATTGTTTCATCAACTTCGAATTCTCATATGGCAGGCGCTGTCGCAGCCGACTGTTCTGAAGGCTATGAGGTCGTCGGGTCCAAGTGCATCCACCGTTACACGGGTGGATATCTGACGTACGACGCAGCGGCCACTTACTGCACCCAGCACTTCGGCAGGCTGCCTGTGCTTAAAGACTGCGCTTCCTTCACTGATGTCACTTCCTATGTCAACGATGGATGTAAGGTTATAGCAGCAAAACATGTTAAAGCCAATAAACTTTCAGAGCTAACAAATTTTGCTCTAAATGTTTGTCATCTTAGAAACATTGTTAGTCGACCCTCATAAGTTAGAAGTCAATTTTAGCAAAAAGTCTCTTACTATGCATCAACTTGATGTTTGGTGGGACCGAAATTTCAGCGAACATAATTCATCTGTAATAGGACTTCACAGATTGGTTTTCTTGCAATATAATTATGACTCTATTATTATTAGACAATCGCTGTGCATGCCCCTGCGCTTATTTTTTAAAACTTGGTGAGTTGGAATGCCTCGTTAGCCGCGGGCGGAAGAAATTGACTCTACACTAATGTACTACTGCAGTACTCATTCACTCACAATTGACCCTGTGTACAACACACAGCTTTTGTGTGATAGCCGAAAATGTCAGGTGTCCGTACCACTCGGCTTGAGGTGACCGAGCAGCTGCAACCCGAACCAAATTCAGAGGCGCGGCAGCTTCTGATCCGAGGAATCGGAAGCTGAGGCATATCTAAATATTAACATGGGTAGGGGTGCAACAGCTGAGTAATCGAGTAGGTGGCCAGGTAGTTAAGAATCGGCGACAGGCCAACAGGCTCTAATCATCGTTAAAAGATCTATATTAATTAATATTATTACATAATAATATATCTATAACTATTAACGTTGCACTCCATCAGACTCAACTGATTTCAACAACGGCTACTGGTTAGGCGCGACCAATGGAACGCTCACCAATGTTTGGCAGTGGAGTGACGGAGCGGCTGTGCAAATGGGCGCTCCGTACTGGGCCATGGTGAGTTAATGCATGTTTTTTTATGCACATGACACAACATATTTTCTAGAAGGAAGTTTATTTATTATGTTAATATTAATGGATGAAACCCAACTAAGTCACGCCAAGATGCAATAGGATTTATTTAGAATAGAACTTATTTAGAATTAACAGAAAACAGAAGGTGAAGTTATGAGTGTCTCTTACAGAAAGTCACTCTTGATATTAGAAATAACATATCACTGCTAGAAATAACAGTGATTTGCAGTCATAATTCTATGAAGATTTAGTAGACAAATCGTTATTCTCACTTGTGTTTCTGATTGATTCGACCTACCCAAATAAAAATTATTGGTGGAGCATCGATGATTGTTGGTGGCTATAGGTGGAAATTATAGGTGGAGAGCACCGATGGCGCATCGGTAGCGTGTCCGGCCTGTATTCCACCTATAACCTGCTGCTGGCGACCCTAACCAAAAAACCCTTTTTCCACCAATAACTTACCCCTTGGCGCCGCTTGCTAATCGATGAGCCATCAATGACCACCTCTCGAATTAGGTCGATAAAAATTTTTCGTTCATTTTAAATACAATGCCTGTGCATTCTCACATAGATCGGCATTCCTTCCAAATATGATCAAACTTTTTTAGGATTACGTATGCACATCAAGCATGGCGATACAAGCAACAATATCGGAAATGTAGCAGGAACAAATAATCACAGTGCCATGTACAAAACTCGTGAGAAATCGACTTGGAGAAAAGTCCCTGCCTGCTCGGGTCGATCTCAAGTCTCCCGCACGCAAAACCAAGCCTCTACCGCTGAGACATCGGAGATTCGGAGAGGACTCACCGAACGAGTCATTTTGAGAGATTTAACTGAGGTATTGCAGTTTTTAATTTCATCAATTATTATGAATAAATGCCACTACTATGCTGATTAGATGGTTCCATTAACCGCTGTTTACTCGAACACGTTATTATGTTTCATAAAATGGCAGCTGAAAGAAATTCCGTTTATTATCTATCATGTTTATTTATTTAAAAATTATATCATTTCTCAATAAGAGAAAATAAGAAAGATTTTCGACGAAAATATTTTTGTGGAAAATAAAGAATGTTTAGAGGATGGAATTGACATCACTCGATTTTGAAATATCAGGGGTGAAATTCTTTCAACAATCCGCGCCGATGTTTTTTTTCTACCCTAATATATGGATAATCTGTCGCGTAGGAATGATGCCGAGACCACGTTATTAAATATGTAAACTTAAAAGCAAAATAATTATGTGACGAGATAAGCAAATTTCTCATAAGATAGATAAATTACAATATCAATGTCAGTCCACAGAGAACTGCTTTCTATCTTCCAGCGTAAAGAGGATATTTTTCCGAAAATAACAGATTTTTTGACTAATATTCTAACTGGAACACATTTTACAAGCAAGGCGTAGCAAGGAACGTTTCGCCACTTATAATGTAGCATGCCTACCTATAACCGTAGGTGCGCCACCCTTAATTATTATTTGGGTAGTTGGGAATCTCTATTGAGTGATGACACTCAGTGTTATCGCTAGAAATATTACAGCTGACCTATTATTGCATTGAGTGCTTCATGTGATTACAATTGATCAAAAAACTTTGAACAGCGCCCTCTAGTTAGATATGTTCCTCAGGATTGTGGAGATTATTTGGCAACGGAACCTTCGGGTGGAACGAGTTACAACTGTGCTTATACAAATGATGACTGGGGCTGGTTATTCCGAGACACCTCATGTACAATAGTCTCTCAATATCCACTGTGCTCAAGCCCTCCAGTAGATGGTGAGTTACTCTTCTGTTTTGAAGCCTTGGAAGGTAACCTGAACAGAAAAGTGCAGAGAGTAAACATTTTATGAAGGAATTTGTTCCAAGCTTTTGAATATTTTATGCAGACAACTGCCAAATTAATCCCATCGAAAGGATTTTACGAGCGAACTGCAGAACTACGTACAAAATTGTTATGAGTTTGTAAGTAACTTTGACTTGAATGTTTAATTTTCAGGAGTTAGCTCTCAATATTAAATTTATGTCTTTGAAGAATTTACGGTAAAAGTGAAACAATTCATTAGATGCTTCAACATTATCAAAAACTTACAGCTATCCAGCTCAATAAAAAATATTAGATGAGAGGCATCATGCAATATGCATTATGGAATCTCTGTGCAGCCTACGTGTTTACGTCTGAATTTTTACCCTTTCATCTTGCTTGATTTCATTCTGATGTTATTGCGACTTGGCACATATTGAACTTGAGGCTTGCATCAATAAATATTTACTGACATCCGGCACACCTTGTACCTGAGGCTTCCATGAACATTGCTTGTTGTACATAAAGCACTTATGTTAAAAGTTGCATGACAATATCTATAGTTCTGATGATGAACACTGCAGTTAAGCAGGATGTAGGGTCTTGAAATGAACTTGGTGAAGTCATATTAAACTCACGAATTGCAGGTCCCTAGGCTTAGCAGAGCTAATCTCTTATGCAATGGCTTCCTGAGCTTCCAAGATTTAATTTAGTTTAATATCTTTAATTCATTCCATATTTGACGTAATTGATATGTATTCTACTGCAGGTCTCTGCCAGCATCCTTTTGTTTTGGTTGGCACGCAATGTGTTCACATAATTACGACCTTACACACCTGGCACGAGGCTCGCACCCAGTGTGGACTGGTCGGTGGGGACCTGATTGTTGTAGACGACTGCGATCAGTACCACAAGGTTTCTCTCTACCTCGCGGGACAAGGTAACCGTTCGAAAAGTTCTATATAATCTTTCAAAATAAACAATGCCTATCAACCCTTAATGATTTTTGTACGGCTAAATTTAATTGAGATTATTAAGCACAGAGCTGTGAAGTTGAGGTTTAATACGCGAGTGATGTAGACCTGCATACATTAGCTTAAAATTCATACCGTGATTAATTTCTATACACCCCCACCGTCCTAACGCCTCCAGGAAGTGGTTAACTCTGGAGAACTTCCCTTTCTCAATTTAGAGACATTTATATCGTGAGTGCCAGGGAAACAGCAGCGATTTTATTCACATTAATATTTCGAAACTTAATTCCTTTTCCTCTATATTTGTATACCTCTTTTCTGGATAAGGATACGCTGTTTGGATCGGGGTCTCAGATGAGGCAGTGGAAGGGCAATGGCGCTGGGTTGACGGTTCGCCGATGACCATGGGACTGCCTTACTGGTCAACTGTAAGGATACACACTCCTAAATATTTAAGAGAAGTGCACGAATAAAACTAAACAGAAAACTCAGCTAGATGCCGGTGATGTAATCATTACAGGATAGTGTTATTTTCAAGTAGTTTACCTAGCTTACTTTTGGGCATTAAATTCACCTCTCAGCTATGTTTAGATGCAAATGAAATAAATTCATCTTGCTTTCGAGAATTAACTGCAAAGATAATTTGCTGTTCTTCATGGATAACATTTCGCGAATTTCTCTGGCTTGTTCAAGCAGCTACAAGCCAAAGTTAATTTATTAATGACATTTTGTTTCACAAATCTTTACGGCATCTAGCTACAGTGGAAAAAAAGCGTTATTATATGGTTAGTTACTGCATGATTTAATTTGCTCAACTCACTAATTTTAGATCGAGACATTTATATTTTTATACATGTATAAACTTTCAATCAAAAGTTACGTTTCTCGAATGTAGATATCTGAAATCAATTAATTCCTGGAATCAATTGACTATAGAAACATTATTTTTACTCTGTATTGGGTCTTTAATCAGATCAGTTTCTAAATTAGATCATTATGATAAATTGAATAAACGACTTTAACTAAAATTTTTGGAGCAATGTATATAACGGCTTTATCGCAAACTTATGACAAAACCAAATTCTGAAACAATTCAGTTAGGACAGTATTAAAAAATACGGGATACGTAAAAAATTAAAACATGGGATGGAATAAAGTCATTTTGGTAATGCAAAACTTAAAAGAATCCAGGATCATGTAATATATCTGGAAATAATATAATTTAAACAATAAATAATTGCATTTCAGCTTCACATCGTTGATGTAACAAAAAATAATAGAAGATGTTGGCTTTATTTTTGCGCAGGCTGCAGGTGGGGTGCTAGAACCCGACAATCCTCCCATCTAGAGGAGTGCTGTTCATGCCCCATCTAGAGGAGTGCTGTTCATGCTACATCTAGAGGAGTGCTGTTCATGCCCCATCTAGAGGAGTTCTGCTCATGCCACATCTAGAGGAGTGCTGTTCATGCCGCATCTAGAGGAGTGCTGTTCACGCCCCATCTAGAGAAGTGCTGTTCATGCCGCATCTAGAAGAGTGCTGTTCATGCCGCATCTAGAGGAGTGCTGTTCATGCCTCATCTAGAGGAGTGCTGTTCATGCCTCATCTAGAGGAGTGCAGCGTTTGCCCCATATTGAGGAGTGTTTTTTTTATGTTCTATCTAGAGGATTCTTTTAAATGTTCAATCAATATGGTCATTAATTTCTGTAGTTTCCAGACCAGTGTTTTATTGTCCTCTCTATAGAATGGCGCATCTGCAGGGTGTTTATATTATACCCGTCTTTTCCATCAAAGGATAGGAGGTCCAGAGATAGATAATCTCAGAGATTTGTGAATCATTTTCATAATTCGCAAATTTGACTAATTATTATTGATGAGGATCTCTCAAACCCACTTTTAAGATAGAAGCCATATGATTATATCATGTTATGGAAGGCGAAGACATTTTTTGCGAAATTCTTAATTAGAAATTAGAAAATTAGAAATAATGTAAGGTGGTCGGTTCTGTGACCACCTGATGGATTTGTAACTGAGAGTCAGTGTACTTTATTGTTCCAAATAGGACTAAGGCAGGACAAGTGAAACACTCGGTAACACTAGTTCTATTATAATAATAAACTGGCTCGGTGAATACAGAAGGACGGGGATTGACAGGCACAGCACAAGTATGTGCTGGAGGTGCGGACTAGCATGATGACGGCTAGACAGTACCGCTACAACTGACAAGCGGTGCACTGACCGTGCTATATATAGTCCTTAACCGATATGACGTCACTGAGCGTGACTCTACCATGTGGGTATAGAACAAGCTAAGCTGATGACGTATGATAACCTAGATGGTGATAGAAGATCACCGGACAGATGGTGATAGAAAATCACCGGACGTAAACGTTACGGAAAACTCATTCCATTTTTCATTTCCTATTTAGAGAGTGACATGAGCCTTTGTCCGATTTTGACTCTCCTTGGAGGAAGTATTTCGACATTCAAAAGCAAAGAAAATTACACCATAATTTACCACATCTTTAAATAAAATGTTTTGGAGTCCAGCTCCATCGTCAATTAGAAATTTTAGAAAAAAGATCAGTTGTCAGTACAATTGAAATAAAAATAACAAGCTATAAATTAAATATACAGATAAAGGCAATGAAAACAACATGAAAAACCGGTCTATTCTAAATTTCAAGCGGTCAAAAGCTAAAGGCTGTATTCAAACTATACCTCACTTTAAAAATATACAAGGATTCTAAAAAAACATATTCGAAATCATCAGAGGTGGAAACTAAAATCTTAGTCACTATAGAATATTGGCACGTCACGCGTACGATGGGCGTGACTGCCGCGTGAGTGCGCACTGCGCACAGCTGAATTAGGGGGACGCGCTGTTAAATGGCCAGTTCTAAAACTACTATTTTAGTTCTCCGCTTTCCTGGAATAAAGATTGCGTGCTACCTAAACGTTAAGACAAAGGCAAGAATATTTACTGTCTAATAAGGGATTTGAATGATTCTCTGTTCAAAGTGGTATATAGCTGAAATAATTACTTCAGATAATAATAATGAGTTCTAAACACTAATTACGCCATTTTTGTTTCACTGGTGCAGACTTGCATACAAACTAGTAATGTTTTCGTAATCTGACTGTATTACAAAGACTGATGTTTGAGTCGGGAATGCTAATTAATCAGAAGTTTAGCAACATGGATACTGTGGCTTGGCTCTAAACATTGTTGAGAGAGCGCTCGAGTTTGTCAAAACTTGCGATTTTCATCGTCAAACGAAAATTTCAAATAGATTTAAAAATAAATTAATTGTGGAAAAATCAATATCGGATTTCACCATGTGTAGCAAAATCCAACAACAATGTATTTAATTTTTCAATAAGCTGCATACACGACAATCGTAAGAGAACTTAGTATCATTCCTCCTCGCGACAGCGACCAGATAACACCTAAGTTGCCTGCTCCGATCTGTTCCCGTTCAAAATTCATTGTGGAACTCTGTGAAAGTGGGTTTATGGGTTTATCGCGCGTCCTCCTCATTCAGCTGTGCGCAGTGCGCACTCACGCGGCAGTCACTCAGATCAGTGCATATTACGTGCCAATATCCTATGGTGACTAAGATTTTAGTTTCCACTTCTGATGCTTCCGAATACATTTTTTAGAATCTTTGCATATTTTCAAAAAGAGGTCTAGTTTTAATACAACCTTTAACTTTTGTCCACTTAAAATTTGTAATGGACGGGTTTTTCATGTTGTTTTCATTGCCTTTTATCTGTAAATTTAATTTTTAGCTTTTTTTTTTGTCATTTCAATTGTACTAACAACTGATAATATCTTTATTCTAGAAATTTCGAATTGACTATGGAGCTGGACTCCAAAACATTTTAATTAAAGTTATGGTGAATTATGGTGGAATTTTCTTTGCTTTTAAATGTCGAAATACTTCCTCCGAGGAGAGTCAAAATCGGACAAAGGCTCATGTCACTCTCTACATTTGAAATGAAAAATGGAATGAGTTTTCCTTAACGTTTATGGAAATTTACTTTATCGATGTTGACCGTACATTATGGGTTTTATCGCTCCATCGTCAATTGCTTTTATTCTGTCATGTCTGCTTCCGTAGTGGCTTAATTGGCGCTTAAGTTAATTCTCTTATGAAATAGGTTTACGACCAAAATCTTACAAAGAGCTACGGTTGCAATGAAACACTGGTTCATTTCATATTAAATTGGGAAATTCAAGTCCACATCCTACGTTAACAAAAGTCTCTAGTACATGGAAAAGGTAATCCGAACACAATCAAAATTTAAAACCTATCAGTTGACATCTCTAAATCTTCTACTGTTGCCAAAAAACGTTGAGCCGTAGAACGCTCCCGTAGAATGGTACGACCCCCGCAAAGACCGTACCTCACGCGCGCGTTTACAGCCGTATTACAAGTGGCCGTACCGCAGCTGTAGCCGCGCGTCCCTGCGGTCGCTGTTCTTCATAACCGTCGTGTCTCGCTGATATAGATGTCTCAGGTCAGTCTGGCCGTAGGTTTATTGTAATGGATCATGGCTGAAGGACCTGATATTATTATTTCTAATTTTTATGCAAGAATTTCGTAAAAAATTTCCTTTGCATTCCATAACATGACATGATCATTGCTTCTATCTTAAAAGTGGGTTTGAAAGATCCTCAACAATAATAATTAGTGAACTTTGCGAATTAGGAAAATGATTCACAAATCTCGAAGATTTTCTATCCCTACCCCTCCTATCCTATGAAGGAAAATAATATAATATAAACACCCTGCAGGTGGGCCATTGATGATATTCTCCTAGAGAGGACAATAAAAACACTGGTCTGCACGGAAACGACAAAATTTACGACCATATTGATTGAACGAACATTTAGAATTTATGACCATCTTGATTGAACATTTAGAATTTATGACTGTCTTTATTGGACATAAAATACGCTCCACAAGTTAGGGTAAACGCTGCACTCCTCTAGATGGGGCATGAACAGAACTCCTCTAGATGAGGCATGACCGCATGAACAGCACTCCTCTAGATGGGGCATGAACAGCACTCCTCTAAATGGGGCATGAACAGCACTCCTCTAGATGGGGCATGAACAGCACTCCTCTAGATGGGGCATGAACAGCACTCCTCTAGATGGGGTCTGCCTCACAGATCACCCGTCTTGCATCACTGCACCACGCGCTGCTGAAGCGGTACATCCACGCGCAGTTCAGCTCCAGGCAGTTCTGCTGTCCAGGATTGTCGGGTTCTTGCTCCAGAACAAACGTCTGCGCAAAAATAAAGCTAACATCTTCCAATGTTTTTGTTTCATCAATGTTTTAAAACTGAGTTGCAATGATTGATTGTTTAAAATACAATATTTCCTGAAATATTTCTGGATCCTGAATTCTTCAAAGTTTTATATTACCAAAATGACTTTTTTTCCAATCCAGGTTTTCATTTTTTATATATATCGTATTTTTGAACACATTTCTAACTGAATTTCTTCAAAATTTAGTTTTGTCATAAGTTTGCGATTAAGTCGTTATATATTTTAATTAAAAAGGGTTTACTTCAATTACAGTAAAAACTATGCTTAAATAGTCATCTGATTTCAGATATCTACAGTCGAGGAAAGTAACTTTTGATATTAAGTTTATACGTGTATAAAAATATAAGTGTCTCAGTCAAAAATTGCTGAGTTGAGCAAATCAAATCATGCAGTGCATAATCCGCTTTTTCTATGGCAACCAAGAACCGAAGAGATTTTCCGGGAAACAAACTGTTGTTTATTATATAAATTTGGTTTGTTTGCTAAATCTTGCCCATGGGAGGGCAACAAATTATCCTTGTAGTTAATTCTCGAACGCAAGATGAACTTATTTCATTTGCATATGATTCATTATGACTTATTTCATTTGCATTAGAAGCTGAGAGGTGAATTTATTGCCCAGAATTACGCTAGGGAAACTTCTTGACAATGAAACTTCTTTAGCAAACTTCTTGAGTTTGCTGTTTAGTTTTATTCGTGCGCATCTTTTGAATATTTATTAGTCAGGATCCTTACATTTTCCCAGTAAGGCAGTCCCATGTCCATCGGCGAACCGTCAACCCAGCGCCATTGCCCTTCCACGGCCTCATCTGAGCCCCCGATCCAATAGTAAAGGTAATCTTATCCAGAAAAAGATAAAAAATTTAGGGGTTAAGGAATTAAGTTTTGAAATATTATTCTGAATAAAACCGCTGCTGTTTCCCTGACACTCACGCTATAAATGTCACAATAATGAGAAAGGGAAGTTCACCAGAGTTAACCACTTTCTGAAGGCGTTAGGATGGTTGGGGTAAATAGAATTAATCATTGACTCCATTTTAACGTAAGGTATGCAGGTCTACATCACTCGCGTATTAATCCTCAACCCCACAGCTCTGGTCTTAGTTACCTTAATTAAATTTAACCGTGAAAGCATCATTAGGGTTTGATAGATAGCAGGGTTGGTGATTTTTTTAATTTTTTCAAAAAATAAAAATAAATAAAAAATCAATGATTTTTTTATTTTTTCATGATTTTTTTGATTTATTTAATTTTTTTCAGCTTTCTCATCTTTTTGAAGTATTATTTTTTATGTTGCAATTTGCCTACTAACAATAACAGTATATGGATCATAATGGATGGCTAAAAAGGGCACTTATTGCCTTCAATAATGGCCAACAGGCCAAGGTTGGTCACCTGATTTGAGCATTTGCGATTTCTTTCTTTGGGGACATCTAAAAGAAAGGGGTTAAGAAGTCGTCCTCACACCCTACCACAGCTAACGGGACGGATTATTGCAGCAGAGGTTATGGCCGTACCTCACTATTTGTGTGAACGTGCTGTAGGAAACTTCTGCGAACGACTCCAACAGTGTGATGCAGCTAACAAACCCCATCTTCCTGATATTGTTTTCAAAACATAAGTATTTTAAATGGTATGTTATGCTACTGATGAGGAAAATAAACTTTCTTCTTTATGTACCTCCATTACTCTTATTTCGCCACAAAACTGTTAAATCAGTTCTGCCCCACCCTGTATAAGCTAGCTAACACATATAAATTGTATATTGTAATCAATATATAACAAATAGTCAAATAGTTAAAGACTACTTATAGCCTTATAAGAATTAGCTAATTAGCTAAGAATAAGATTAGCTGCATTAGCTAAGCTGTACAAATATCTGCATTAGCTAAGCTGTACAATGTATTGCACACTTGATGCCTCTGTACTAAAAACATTCAATTTATTGGAACCTAATACACACAAGTTTATATACCAATTTGTCATTCATAGTACATTTATACTGAACCATGAATAACAATACCTCAATATAAATTAGAGACGGCCACTCAATATATTTAAATATATGAAAAAATCAAAATAATAAAAAAATTTGGAAAAATAAAGGAAATCATGATTTTTTATAAAAAAAATCAAGTTATTTAATCACATGATTTAATCATTTTGATTTAATCATTGCCAACCCTGATAGATAGTGTTTATTTTGAAAGATTAAATAGAACTTTTCAAACGGTTACCTTGTTCATCGAGGTAGAGGGCAACCTTGTGGTACTGATCGCAGTCGTCTACAACAAACAAATCCCCACCGACCAGTCCACACTGGTTACGAGCGTCATGCCAGGTGTATTTGGCAGGAATTATGTGAACACACTGAGTGCCAACCAAAACAAAAGGATGCTGGCAGAGACCTGCAGTAGAATGCATATCCATGATGTTGAGTGTGGAATGAATGAAAGATATTAGATTATTCAATCTTGGAAGCCGGATATTAGCTCAGGAAGTCATTGTATGAGAGATTAGCTCTGCTTTGCCTAGGGTCCTGCCATTCGTGCGTTTAATCTGACTTAACCAAAATTATTTCAAGACCCTACATCCTGTTTAACTGTAAACTTTAACCGTTTAACTTGCTTTAATTTTATCACATTTCAAACTTTACCCTAAAATCGGAATTTATAGATATTGCCACGCAACTATTAGCGTAAGCGTTTTATGTACAGCAATCAATGTTCATGGAACCCTCAGGTACAAGGTGTGACGGATGTCAGTAAATATTTATTGATGCAAGCCTCAAGTGCAATATGTGCCATGTCGCAATAACATCAGAATGAAATCAAGCAAGATAAAACGATAAAAATTCAGAAGTAAACATGTAGACTGCACAGAGATTTTATCATGTGAATTGCATGACATCCCTAACGTAGTATTTTTTATTGAGCTGGATAGCAACAAGTTTTTTTAACTCTCCTACATTAACTGGAGGGCTAATTGCACATCTGAGGTAACCCCGCAAAATCGGCGACTGAGCCCCTACGCAGGAACAAGTACGGCAAGGAGTTTCGGGCGCCGGTTTGTGGGCAATTGTGAGCTTCAGTTCGTGTAGAGTGCGGAATCAAAACTCAGTTATGTATATGTCGGTTAGCTCGTAGCAGCGCACTCACCATCACGGTAACGGCATTCAGTCCTGCAAGGCGCGGTCGGCAGCAGTTGACGCGCGTACAGTGAAAGTAACAGGCTTCACTCATGCGTGTTGCCATCTCCGGATTTCTCTGTAGGCACAACAAATGTAATCCGAGATTCGACATTTTCTGTTCAGATTTTTTTAAAGGCAACTATTTTAAATAGTCTCTTCAATCTTCGCTAACTATCCTCTCATAGTAAAGGTAAATGAGGTCATGTTTGAATTTTGTCTATTTATTTCAGGTCGTTAGTAAATATTGTTTCTCTCGATTCTCAGTAGCAACAGATTGTTTATGCTCCAATCGTGTAATGCCTTCAATCAGCTAATAGTTTTCTAAATTGAATTTTTCAATTTGTGTAATGCTATACACTAAAGTTTAATAAGAAGGAAATAATTTCGTTTCGGCCAATTTATTTTGTCTAATCGTTTAATGCCTTCAATCAGCTAATATTTTTCTGAAATGGATTTTTCAATTTGTGTAATGCTATACACCTAAATTTAATAAGAAGTAAATAATTTTGTTTTGGTGCCTCCGCAATTGAGTTACGTTATACGTGGCAAGAGATGACCTATATGAATGATGCGAGCAGCTATGAAGTAATGCTTTGTTTGGACTTGAACGATTGCAACCAATCGTGTCACTATTATCTACTAAAAATTTACTGCTCTTTAATCTGTGAATGTTTATTTAGAGTTATAAATTAAAATTACTATATGTATAAAACTATGATCGAGGAGCCAGCAGTTACTTCCCACTGCAGTCGAAATTTCAGCAGACTACCTTCAACCTATCTATTACACTCTTTTATCTCCTAACCGTTCCAGTGAGCTATCAGCTCTATTTAGCAAGTTCCAAAACAATTAAAGCGACGCTCATTCATGTTAAGATTATATAAAAGATATTTTAATATGCAAGTGCTTATAAATAATCGATTTCATTGNCTGTCTCTTATACACATCTAGATGTGTATAAGAGACAGACCTCATACTGCTCTCACGGCAAATCTATCTCCTCCTACAGTTTTCAAGCTACAGCAATGAGACATATACCATTCGATTCGTAAAGACCAGGCCTATCGACTCTAACATCACTTTTTTGAATTTCGGTCTGGTTCGTTTTTTATATGGGGAAGAGGGGGGGGAGGGGTGAAAAATGTAAAAAATGGGAAAAAAACGTCATAAAAAAAACTAGGTGGAAAATGAAAAAAGTGATGTTAGAGTCGATAGATATGGTCTTTACAAATCGAATGATACGTGTCTCGATAATGTAGGATGATATTTGTGGGAGGAGATAGATTTTCTAAAGTACCCCTTTTTAGCCGTTTTCTATGAATTTCACGTTTTCTATCAATTTTTTTCGAAAAATTCATACGAGCAAAATGTTTTTCTTTTTACATTTTAAGTGTGTATGTGAAGTTTCATGATGATCGGATGATAACTGTAGAAGTTTCTCCGGGGGCAGCCCGGTCCCCTTAAAAGACTTTCATGAAAACGGTAACTGTCGAATGATGTAATGTTATCTCTACTTAGAATATAGTAATTGAAGCCGCTCAAATTGACATGCATCAGTGGACAAAATCGTATTTACAGTCAAATAAACAGAGCATAACACATACTACATCTTTAACAGAATTCAAACGTGTAGTTCCCATAGGCATGTAGTCCCAATCCGATTAAATCATTCTGATCGCATATAGTATACCTCCGTCATTGTCGATCAAAGAAATTGGAACTAAGCGTCTCAGCTTCCCAATCGCCAGACGTCTTCAAAAATTTGCCGTGCATCGCAAGCGTCACTTCACGGCAGTCGTTGCACTTGCAGCGAGTATACTTAAACTGCTGAGGAGCGAAGTCTTGGTGCTTCCTATTAGTGTAGGGCAGTCCTCGCTGACGTCTAGTCTTGCGCAGGCAGCCACGCGGTCTTCACAAGGACATAGCAGTTCTGCCACAAAATGAACCCATGCCCTCCACGGGATCGAGGTGAAATTCTCGTTCTTCGGCAGAAGTACCATGCACCGTTTCTGCAATAGAGTCATTACTGTTGTATTTTGTATCAATGGAGTCATACCTAGAAAATAATGCGGACTAAAAACGAAGCGGAAGTTTATTACAGTATTACCGAGTTTAGAGAGCGCGACTTATCCTATTCACCAAGTTTGGAAAATAGTCAGACATTCGCTCGCAGATGATAATGCTTCATGCAATCGACAATAAGCGTCCATCTGATTCAATTCACATAAACGAGTCGTCTGTGTAAAAACTAATAATGAGACTAATTATGACGCCATTCGGGGTGGCACAAATCCACCTAATTAAAATTCCTGTGCTCGCGAGACCTCAATAGTAAATTTCTTAATCGTCTTTCTAAGTTGCCAATACCGTCACATACGTCAAACGTTAAAAATTTATTTTCTGAGTCAGCAGCCCTGCGCTTTAACTTCGATCAATATGAAATTTTTGTAATTATTCCATTGACATTTTGGCACCATATAATTAATTTCATTGTACTTGAATAAATTACGAGGAAACATTGTACCTTCACTGCACTGTCAAATCGTTCGACAACCTAGTACCTTCTGACTGAGACTGACTCGAGGAGGTGGCGATGATGAACTGGAGGTGGCAGAGGTAGGTCCACGAACATTACCTCTTCACTCGGTTGATCAAGGCATCAAGCCCATCTTCCGTGGGACCTGACGAGACAAAAAATGTTGGCAATAGATAATGCTAGATTACGGCATTTAAACTACAGAATCGCATTTATTGCGAGTATTTCAACTAAAATTTGAAATGCATGTGAGTAACACAAAGTTCAATACATGGATGCAAAGAAGCTTTAAATCATCTATATAAGAAAATGACTACCTGTCCATAATCTAAGTCATCGTGTGTACGAGCATTTAGAATGCTGCTTCTCAAATAGAGGTAGCAGATAACTCTAACGAAAAGAAAATGGTAAATAATCCTGTAAATAGTAGCCTCTACGCACAATTCGGATTGGTTAACATTATGAAATAGTGAGATGGACTTTTTTTGAATCTGGTTATACCCGCATTAGTCGTGTCTTCGACCCAGAATGTGTTGTGATTCATGTTTTAACGTCTTGTTACATGCGTGAAATTAACGTTATTTGGATATCAGAATTCGATTTGATGTATATTTACTTCTCATAGTCCTTCAAAATTCCACATGCATGTGAAAACAGGTATATAATCATAATTTTAGATAATCACGCATATTAGATCAAATATCCTAAAACTAAACCATTCTTTCTTTAATAAGAGGACGGAACAAGTTCCGTGAAAAATATCGATCTTGAATGTATTAGAGAATTAAACTTCCATTCACAGAATTCCCTAATAGGCCCTATGACCTATCGGTGAAACAATTAACAAATTATTCCGAATATTCCAGCTTCTGAACGCATCACTCACCTCCAGCGTTTTTCCGTTCATTTCGCTTCCTTGTTCTTGCTAGGGCCACAAAAAATTTGCCTCCTGAAGGCATTAGTAATGTTGCGTAAAGGCCCGTTTCCACTACGGGACTGATTCTGAAGGATTGAGATTGTCCTGAGACCAATAAGCCACATGGCTGGACTTGAAAACTGGCGTGCGCGTTTCCACTACGCGCGTGTGCTGGGATTGAGACAGACCGTCTGGGCTACCGCACTCGCTGGCCTTTGAAATTAGATTATGCTGCCGCTCTTGATTTACTAGCTTTTGTCACTATGCGCTGGAGGAAACAAAGATCTCTCTACCTAATAGCAGCTATTAAACGCAAGAATGTTTTCAAGCTTCTCATTTAACACAGTTTATCCGTGTAATAACATGCATTCACCAAGGGATTAAGAAACAGCATTAGCCTATCTGACCTTTAATGTGTCGAGAAAATCAAATGTAATAAATACGTCACAATGATTAACCATGTCTGGTTAAAATGTTTGATTCGCCAGTTAGTAAACCTATCATGATTCGCCCCCAGGTACACAATACCTGCATAGACAAAGACATTTTGCATTACACACCAATGAGTACCTACTTGAACACAGAAAAACACGGCCAAAATTTTGTTCTGATAGTGTACTAATTTGTCTAACTCAGAGACTATACGAGCCTAGGAAGGAATACTTCAGCAATGAAAGGGAGAAAACATAGTGAGCCTGGCCGAAGTTATTCGCCATTTTAAAACGCACTTGTCACACACAAAAATTCTAACATTTCCACTAGTCACCAATCTGCACGTCACAGTATTA